CTCTGCGACCTCAACATGCATGATATGTTTATAGTTCTCTAAGATGAGACTGATAAGAATACTATACCTGACGATCGTTTTCACAATGGAAGAAGAACTTAATGTTATTTTTTTTCTCGATCTCCTGTTATTCATTAGGTTAGACAGAACAACATGGGATGTATGCAGAAAGCTGACACTAACTGAACAATATATTCGCTTCCTTATGTCTGAAATCGTCATGGTTGAAAAGTTGGCTCATTGTATAGAAGCCATTTGTTCTAATGAAACCATAGAAGAGGAGCTTCACATAATCCATAGTCTGCTTAGTAGGAACGAACATCTAGGCGAATTCATGACGAAGTGAATAAAAGAGATGAAAGCTAAACCAAGGGTTTTCACAGTATCCTGGAAACCTATTTTGTTTGTACTTGAATTCAGAGGTGATGTCATCAGTGAGATCGTAATGCGACGCTTGCAGGCTGTTCCATTTTCTACATTCGGACCATCCTACGTACAGGATATTGAGATAGGGTTTTTAATTCTGCCCATTGTATATGCATTTATCAGTCTAACTCCTCATGTGGCGTTTGTTACATTGTGTATATCTGAAAGTCATCCATCATGGCTGAGCAAAAAGGAGATAAGGATAAAATACTCAGTATCTGAACATTTAGTAAGATACTAATTATCAAGTGATTACAAACTAGACTTTTACAACTATCTACCGTATACCATTTAATCTCCTGTATGGCTTATATATTTGTCCACTACATACCGTAAAAGACATTGCTGTAAATTTTTACTAACCAAATCTTTGTATTCAGAGGCAATTTGTGCAATCTATCATCCCGTTAACCCTCAGAAGGAATTAACCACTGATTTCAATTTTTCCAACTCAATGAATTAAGTTGTTTACAGAGAGCACTTTTTCATGTTCATCTGATATTATTCGTCGCCTTGTTCCTAAGTAATTATTGCTATTACGCGACCAGTTGTCCAAATCCTTTGTTTTTCGTATCAATTATTGAGCAGTCAGTGAAATAACAACATGCTTCACTTCATTTTACATCTTTTTCAATCCTGTATAATCACCGTAATAATCGATTTCTAGCTTCACTTCTCTAATCGTTAGTAGTAGCATAAGTAATTTTATGTTTGTAATTATTTTTCATTTGTTAATCCCCCACCGCTAGAGTGCTATTTTGTTATTGACTGTAAAACGTATGTTTTGATATAAGACCTTCAAGATGTTAACAAACTCGTTAGTAAAACCTCTCTTCAACAGATGATTCGAGAATCCAACCCTGCCCAATGTATTGAAAGCAGCCATTTCGTCAAGAAATGCAATTCAGATAAAGAGTGGAAATTAATAAGTTCAAAAGTGGCATGTAATTTGTGAGTTACACAAGAAAATGACATTGTTAAAGGAGGAATTTAATTTTGACCTAACGAAGAAAGCATTTGAAAGCGATAGAGTAACCCCCTTTATGGAGCCAGCTATATCTCTGATACTGATAGAAGAAGTAGATATAGTACGACAAAAAAATTCGAAAGTATCATATAAAATCAGACACCTGGTATGTCAAATTTCACAAAAAAAGAACGCTGTACTTTGAAAGCTTTAAAATCAGATAGATCAAGTATGATAACTAGAGCTAGCAAAGTTAATGCCGCAGTTATTCTAAAAATAAACAAGGTTATGATAAAAAGGCATTGGAAAATATTAGTTCAGATCTATATGAACTAATACCTACAAATAAGATCTCCAGTACACTAAATAAATTGGAAAACGAAACATGCAGTTTACTTAGGTAATTAAAACCGAAACTGGGAAATGTAACGCAGTTTTCGTTAGCACGAGAAACCGATTTAGCCGCAAGATTTTACGGTAGACCAAGGATATATAAAGTGGACTTTCCGCTCAGATCAGTTGCAGACTTCACTAATTCAGTAATATATCGTCTTTGAAAATTATTAGAACCATTTCAATAGGATTTTCCATTAAACATTAGAAATGATAAAGAATTCATAAATTAGTGGTTAACACTATAGGAAGAAATGAAATCATGACAAATTAATTTCGACATAATTTTTCCTTACCAGAATTCCTATATATGGACGCACTTAATGTTGTAAAACACTTACTTGATAACGATCAAGTATTATTATATGAATGTTCACCGTCAACAGAGGATATTATGAATCTATTTGAGGTTATTTCCAGAATCAATTATTTTACATCTAGAGGTAAGTTACACCATGGAACAAATGACATTACGAGGGACTCATTAACGTCTCCGAATGTGACTAGTTTACATATAAAGCCACTCGAAGAAAAAACATTAAATAGCTTTCTCTATCAAAATAAACTATGGTATAGATATGTAAACAATACCTTTGTTTTCATTGCTAAAACAGGACATGAATTTTTTCGCAACAATTAAACTTGATGCCAATTTGTATAGAATTTACGAATGAAACCAAATCGAATTAAGAATCGGAATTGCTTAGACTGCCTTATGCAAAGATTATCCGAAGGGAAATTTAAAATTTACAGAAAGCTTATTCATTCTAATAAATATATAAAATTTTAGTCTCATCATCCAATACACATAAAAAATACTGTAGAACTGAACCTATTTAGTAGGGCTAAAAACATTGTCACGGATCCGGAGGATATAGAGACGGGAAATCCGAAAGTAAGGCAAGTTTTAATAGAAAATAACTATTCCAATCCTTTTCTGAACAATATTTTCAATAAGAATAAAAAGAGACAAACGTAAAAAACAAGTTAAACTAAGAAAAGTCATAGTTATCAACAACCGTAATTCTAGATGAAAAAAATACATCAGAACACATGCAAAGAGTTTTTGTCATAAACAGTAGTAGAGTTGATTTGGAACCTTGAATTTTTTTGGAAAAAGCTTTAGTTTCATTGAAAGATGTAATTCCAAAGATAACACAGAACAACTGTGTGTATAAGATAAAATGTACGGAATGTGAAGCCAATTATATTGGTGAAATTTTTACACAGCTAAAAATTAAAATGAATGAACACAAACTATACGGCGAACGTCCTCCGATGAATGAATTGGAATCGGGAACTTTAGAAAAGTGATCAGTAATAGCGATTTATGCGACTGAAAGGGAAAATATGATTAGCTTCGATGACGTTGACATATTAAGAAAGGGTTTTCATTGACACAAAGAGAGGTTGATCTCTTAAAGCCTGGATTATTTGATGTCAACAAAATTTTAAAACAGAAAGTAAGGAAGAGACCTAACACCTATCTGACAGCCTCCAATTCGGAAAGATCATCATTTCAAATTGATATTAGAAGAAAGTAACGTCGATCAATTTTTGTTCATGACGAAACAAGCTTTCTCATATTTACATACCATAACCTACGTACCTGCATTTTAAATAGCATATACACACCTACAGATACTTTGAATATTGAATTTTTTTTGGTAATAATGACCATATGAATTTAAGACGACTGATCAGAAATAATCAGTCTGAACAACAAATTAGCTGCTTAACCGTACATATTTTGATTTATAATAAAACTCGAATATTCTGCTCAAAAAGCTATAGGATTCATAGCGAAATGTTCATAATCTTGTTTTGATTTTTTAAGCAAACTGGGATTAGTTTAAAACTTACTTATACAACTACAGTTATTGTTGATACTCAATATTTATGTCTGTTCCATTATCTAAATGAGGGTAAACATACAATCAAGGTGTCCACTGTTTCATAAGATCTTGATCTGTTGCTCATGAACCGGTTTTATACATTTTGCAAGTCTATGAGCTATGCAAGCTGCCAGTAATTTCGATGTTAATAGTATCAGATTACTGCACGAATGATTATCGAGAGCAGTACACAGTTAAAAGTAATAATGTTCTCATTACAAGGTGATTGGAGTCTCTCTACCTGCTATATCATACAATTGTTGATTCTAGGTATGCTTACTTATTCATCCTTTTACTAATGGATTCACTCCATTATCATTCAATGTTCTACAGGTTCGTATAGATAACTTAGAATTATAATACTTCACAAAACATGTGTTTCCTATAGTACAGGTACTTGTGGTTTACTTAGACCACAGTTGGAATATATGGATGGACGGTAGGTATGAAAGCCTACCATCTAGGTAATCTGTAAAAGTGTTTACTTGAAAGTTTAGTTTGGGATTTGATTGTTTATGTAGATTCTCTGTGCTAAATAAAGTCTTTCAAATATTTCTTTGAAAGCTTTTCGGTGCGAAGCTCATTCAGACCTTTAAACTGAGATACCACTCTGTTTTACTCGCTACGAATGTTGCAGAAATGTTAACGCGTTGTCTTATGAGGCATTCCGTTGCACACCGATATGAAAAACATCCTGTTCTGAAAGCCAATGAAGTCTCTGACTGTTAGTCCGAATCCTTTAGGAGGATGTTGTCTTCCAGGTCAGAGGCTTCTAAGTGTTTTGGAAAATGAAACACAGTTGCGAAAAAATGCTGAAGATTTTCTTGTATGTGGGGATAATTATGATACAACCTACTTTATGTTTGTGAATAAATGCTGAGACCACCGTAATATATTTTGCATCTAGATGAAGAATGAATATGTCAATTGGTTTGGATAAAAGGCGAAGTTGCAACTCGGCTTTAAAGCCTTATTAAAGTAACCATTAACTAAAAAGTCAGTATAAATTCTCATTACATAATTATTGAGAAAATTAATTACAGTATCTTTTTATAAACTCAATTAACTTTGCTAGTGGATGCATAACTATTTTATAAGAAAGATTAATCCTGACTGTTCAGTATCCTTCTATTATTCATAACGTTTTTACTTGTATGATTGTATTCAGTGAGAAAGTCTATTTGGTTTCCTCAATATACCTTACTTTTTTACCAACTTATTTCGTGTACTACTTTTCTGCACAAAATAAGGTTTGTGAATGATTTATATACTTGTTAATTTCGTTTATTCTGTTTGCTTTGGTGAACAAAATTTTGTAGGAAAGTGCTCAAAAAGAAGCTTTTGCTCAGTTACAAAGTCAAAAAGATAGTCAGGCTTTAAGGTTACGAAAGGAGATATGTCTTATAGAACAAGAACTCTGTCAACTTACGTTGGCTGAACGGTCACGTGCTAACCAACGTATGGAAGTAAATCAACGTGTTCTTGATGACTGTAGATCAGAATTACTTCAATTGTTAACTCAGTTGATAGATGAACAACAGCACCGACAAAAAGAACTACGTAAACGTTTAGTAAGTCTTATTGTACTTGTATCAATTTACCAACTTTCTTTGTTCCAAAGTAATTGGATATACCGATGTATGTAGTCAGGTAACCGAGCGTCAAGTAATATAGTGGGTTTGTGTGAATCGCATTACTCTTGAATACTTAGACGGCTGACTATGCCAGAGGATGGTCTACAAAATTTGAAACCTTATTTTAAGTATAACCATTTACATACCCCGGAGTTTATGCTAATAATTGCTGGTAAGTTCTGGGAAGATTTGTAGAGTTAACACAATTTTCAGCAATGAAGCATTTGGTTTCAGAATACTCTTAGACGACCAACTCATTGAAGGAGGTTTAATAGATTGTTATCAGGTTAGTGACTTACTTACTATTACTCTTGACCAAATTTATGGTTTCTGTCACAGATTTAGAGAAAAAAATCATTTGCTTTTCACGAAAGAATTCTTGTCGGTAAATGATGCACCTCCAGAAAGCACAGTAAGGTTCTAGAAAATTCACAGTCGTATACAAAAATGAATCCCTAACCCTACTCGCTGTCTTTTACCATAATCTTCTCCACAAATCAAAATGTTCAGACTTCAAATTATAGTCTACTTGGCAACATTTCCGGCACGAAAAATCCCAGCAGAAAACTTTACTATTCATGTTATTTGCTGGTTTGAATAGTCGGGAACCACACAGGAAGACTACAGTGATTACTTTTAAAATCGTAGTTGGATCCCACTAGGCTTTATTGCCCGCAGACGGGAAATCTTTAACTACTTTTCTAAGATTTGTGGTAGGACCACTTCATTCAAGTGGCTTTTCAGTACTAAGATTATTTGAACAATTTAATTCTTTGAAATAAGTCAGTTCAAGTAAAACGTGGAGAATTTCGATGTGACTAGCTCTGTGAAGCAGTTACTTTGCCGAATATTATTACTGTATGGAATATAGGTAGTCTAAGGTATTCAATTTTGGTTTAACTGTTGTTCCTATTGTATAATTTCGCTCGTGCGTATTAATATGAAGAGTTGCATTTTGACTGATATACACATACCAAATCATGTTTTGTCTATATGTTATTTATCTTAGATACCTGAACGTAGACAATAATTTGGTGTTCTCTAAACTTTGGTATTTGATCTTTCGCTTCATCGCTAGGCTTGATAACATCATCAGCACCAACTTCCCCACCAGATACCGAAGCTTACACAACACCAAACTGTTGTCATCTTCAGAAAAGGACTGATAATATATCTTCACCCTAAGCTCTGAATTGTATGAGATCTCACTAACAACAGTGCTCAGTACTACGGACAAGAAACTGTTATACTTGTTAGCTAGCCATTACACAAAATAGTCCCAATTTTGTTCATTTGAGGTCGATTTTCTTTGACGAGAATGTTACTCTAAATTATAGGGATAGGTTAAACTATTAAATTTCTTATTGGATTGTTTGTTTGGTATGGAACGCAGTGATACATTAATACCACTATATCAAATAAACGACCTAATGTGCAAGTATGCTCTCCCACACTGTTACTCTTATATAAAGTGAGATTTATGTAGAAGACTAAAATATTGTGTTTGAATATATGAGTGGATGTTTGTTAAAATGTTTTTCCCTTATTCTCTTCTATTTCGAATAAATGGAATAAAATAGTTATCCATTTCACTCAGTGACAGACTGAATCAAAAAACCACAGTAACGTGTCAGTGCACTGATCCTATTCTAAATCGAGTATGATCCGCACTGTTTATAACTTCCTATAACTAGCTTTTTGTATATAACAGGTAAATAAAAGAGGCCTGTTATTTCCATACATATATGTCCCTTTTGTAAGACTCGTTCGTTTTATAGATTCCAAATGGTATTAGTGAGAGATTTTCATTCCTGTTTTAAATATAAAATTTTGTCTTCTACCATCAATTTTGAACGTTCACATCGATCTGGTGGTCACACCAACAGTGAAATGCATAGGCAAGATCAGATCAATATATTTTTAGATTTGTGAAATTTTCTCATGTTCTTGCTTCCTATCGGCGGTGTTTTACCCATTTCAAAGGATACAGGTACTACAATTCGCATTCCACCTTAGTGTTTCTGTGAACGTAGTTTCACCTTCGATAAATATTTATCTCTGAAACTTATCTGATAGGATCCTCAAATAGTACCGTCCTTGAGGTGAACGATCTGCTACAAAAGAATAGCAAGTTGACTTTTGGCAGTCAATCATTTTAGAATATATATATATATATATATATATATATATATATATATATATATATATATGATTATGAGCAATGGTTTATGCTCGAAACGTCATCAAGTAAATAATACTAGATCACTGTGTGTTATAAATCAAATAAACAAATCTAATATGGAATTAAATTCTACCACAATGCCCAAGTTTTACGTCTATATTAACGTGTATATATTTATTATTAATACTATTATTTGTCCCTTGGGTTCCCAGTGGAACATAGGGCCTCAGTAGCACATTTCCATTGAACTCCGTTCTCTGCAGTCTTTTGAACCTGGCTCCACGACTGCCCACAAGCTTTCATTTCTTCCTCATACGATCTCCTGCATGTCACCCTCGGACGCCTAACTCATCGTTTCCCCCTTAGGTTCCACTCGAGGGCTTGGCGCGTGATGTCCCCGAATGGTCTTCTCAGTGTATGCCCGATCCATCTCCACTTTCTTGTGAATATTTGTTGGGCGATGGGTTCTGGGTTGGTTCGTTGCCAGGTCAGAGTTCCTTGTTGTTTATTCTTTCTGGCCATCTGATCTTCAGTATCGAGTGAGCGTAGGCGGCAACTGTTGATGAATGTGTGTAGTTTGTTGAAAATGCATTTCGTGACGCGTCAACTTTCTGTTCACTGGTAATTCTGTGGCTAGGCCTTTGGTGGTGTTTCTGGACGAGTTGATGCTGGTGTTGGTGGTCGATTCAAAAGATTTTTGAAGTGGTCGGCCCATCGTTCCCTTTGTTTCTCCTCTTTGGTGATTAAATTTCCGTCATCATCTTTTATTGGTTTCATGTGTTGATTTCTTCCCATATAGAAACCTGGTTATTTGATATAATGTTGTAAGGCCTCTCTTACCTGCAGCCTGTTCTGCTTCATTTGCCATTGTGTCGTAGAAGTATCTTTTATCTTTGCATGCACTCTTCTTCACTTCTTTGTCCAGTGTTTTATACGTTGTACTCAGTTCGTCTTTTCGTTGTGCATCCTTGCACTGGTTCATCTTCTTCTTCACCATCTTCCTCTCTCTCCTCTATCAGCTTCCATGTGTCCATCGAGATCCATTCCTTATCTTCTTTCTTCTTCCTTCCTAACACGTTTATGCAGGTTTCCTTCCGCGTCGCTTTCACTGTGTTCCAGTGTTCTTCTACGCAGGTTACTTCACAGATGCTGCTTGATATCTCCCATTTAATCCTGATGACTGATGCGAAGATGTCTTTTGAAGTTTCATCCTTCAGTTTCTGTTCCACGTGTTCAACTTGAACTGTGGTTTATCATCACCAACTTCTTTGGAGGCTTTCATCTTGATTTTGAAGGTTTCTTTCACTGCATAGTGAGTGGTGTGAACCTAAATCTGCTCCCCTTCTTGATCTTGTGTCCAGTAGGTCGCGTCTCCACTTTCTTCACATTGAGATGAGGTCGATCTGGTTTTTAGTGTGTCCTGGTGTCTGGTGAAATCCATGTTGCTTCGTGAATATCCTTGTGTTTGTACACACTGCCTCCAATCACCAGATCGTTGAACGCGCAGGTATCTGCAAATGGTTCTCCATTCTCGTTCATTTCACCAAGTGCTTCTCGACACATGATGAGTTCTCTTCCGCTTCCTGTGTTGTCCGCTCCCGTTTTGGCATTCATGTCATCCAACCCATTAGAAGTTTGATGTCGCCACTTGGGTTGGGTTCTTGTTCAGTACTGATTGCAGTTGTCTGTAGAATTCCTCCTTCTTCTCTTGATCTGGATTATTTGTAGGTGCGTAGCGTAGCACTGTATGATTGTGGCTTTCCTTCCTTTTGAGTTAAACCTTGCTGTCATGATCCTGATCCTGCAGGAGGAGATTGGTTGCCACTGCATGAGAGACAACCTTTATTGCTCTTGAGAGGAGGGCGCATCATGACTGCTACTCCAAAACTCAGTGTGCTTGTGGTTGTCGTCTTGGTGAGAATATCGGAGTAGATTATTGATTCTCCAGTTAAGAGTTTGGAGAGTCCACTTCCATTCCATCTGCTTTCGCGGATTCCAAGCACTTCTATGCCATACCTTCTCATCTCTTTGGCAATCCGGGTAGCCTTGTTCGGACATTCCATATCCCTATGCTTATTTTTGCCTTAATCAAGAGAGAGGACGCATCGGCCAATTGGCTTTTTTAAGGCTTTCACCAACCGGCGTCATTTTGTCTCCCTGATTCCAGCGGGGAAGAAGTTAATTTTTTTAATATTTTCTTTGTGCTTTGAGGTTTTTTAGTGATTGTATTGGTTTTCCGGGGTCGGGTTGCTAGCCGTTTTCCCAGCCTTTCCTCTTTATTCGGGCTTAGGACAGGCTATTAACTGGTTAACCAGGCGAGGTTCTTTACCGTATTAGGGTCTACCAACCTTGATTTAACTGAGTTTTGCTGCTTAACTTGCTATCCGAATATTTGTTTATCTAATCAAGACCAAACATATGCAAAAGGAATGACTTCAGCACCTGTTCCATACATAAGAAAAGTTCTACTACCTATGTCACAAGAAAAAGAGAATTAGTACCATACCAGCCATTTTATAAGCTCCAGGATCAAAATTTGACGTGATAAAGTTAAATAAGTTGAGCATTGAGTGGATAGATTATCAATGAAATATATTTGTAAAATCCCAATGAAGCAAAAACAATAAATTTCTGACGTTTCGCAAATTCGTGAAAATCTCTCCTTCAGAGAAGAAGAAGGAAAACCTTCCATACAGTGTTTGTAATGTGGTGGTGATTTCTCAAAACAATAAAATGGAGTTTCCATCAGAGGTCTCAAGTGATATGTGGAGACGTGATCATAGCAACACCTTTGTATCATTATTTTACATATGTTCCTGAAAGTTTGTTGTGGCTGGTATTCTTCCTTCATCTTACATCTTTCTTCATTTATCTTCCTACATAATACTTAACATTACTTATCAAAAGATGTACCAACATGAACAAATTTTTGTTTGTTCTCAGCCTTTCGATGTACCAATTAAATATATGCTATTGTTTATCCATGTATACAAAGAGTACTCAATGGCTGTAGTTACGATCCGCCCCATGATACATGGTATATACTGCTTATTTAGCATATTGATAGGTTAATTATCAAGAACCGTAATGTATATAGTTGTTTGACTGCACGAGACTGATATATTGCTAAACTGAACTTCCTTCATTACTAAATCATAAGTAATGTTCAAACTATACACAAACTAAAATGATGGAAATTATCTTTGATTTAAGCCGGTGAGATTAGGATGGAAATGTTCTCTACTTTGGGATTATTTTGAATATACCTTAAGGGGTATCTTACTTATCATCTTCAACATCAATTCATGATAGGTGATGATGATGGTTTGTTTATAAATACTGACAATATTAGGACTTATTATAGTTGGTTTCAAGCACTACCACAGGAGACTGCGTCAGTTATGAACACCATTGTATAGAAAAAAATGAACGCAGCTTTTTTTAAGATCATCAGGCAACCATATCTTGAGGACTTTCATATTTCTGGCTAAGCTTCGTAGATCCGTTTGACAAACTAAATGAGTCCCTCTATGATGAGATGTTGTTGTTCACTAAACTAAAAACAATCCCACAATGTTTGTCATCGAATTGGGATGGAATACAGTAAAATTGTCATACACGGATACTCGACTCAACTTTTTTGATGCTTTCGCCAACCTAATGTTAAACACAGAGAAAAAATTTATGTAAATGCAACATGTATATTTCTCACGTCAACTAAGTACTGCATAAGCAATTTGTTAACAGTCTAACGATTTGAATGCAACTCGTCTTTAAACAGCAGAATAAAAATGAGAAGTCATTCATTTCCCTGTCAAGGTAACTGCTATTTTGAAGATTTGAAAACTAAGTGTTTGGTAAAAAACCACTATTGTTCTAGGATTTCCGGCTTAATGTAACCAGTTTTCTTAACTGAATGGCCTTTGTTTTTGCGTCTAACATCTCTTTTCAATCTATTTCAAAAGGAGGAAATGGAACAACAAAAGAAAGATGATCAATTAGACTTTTGGTTAGTGCTATACCAACGTATACTGGATACTAAACCTGTTGAGTTGTTTAATAAGGTGAGTTTGAAATGTCTGGTTACCCTGAAACAAGTGACTTTCATAAGTCGACACCTGTGTAATCATGATGTTCAACTGTTTTTTTTTCTGTACATCCAGTTTCATTACTTGATTTGAACAGAGAGAGGACCACCAGACTTACTGGAGCACGTGGTATTTGTCAGTCCTGAATACTTTCTCGAAGGCTTCCTTTTTATCTCATTATTTAATGACAGTGGTAAAATTCTGCATCATATGTGAAAGTGGCAGCGGAATGAAGTCCAGTTGCAATTTGTTGTTATTTTCGTCAAGAACCATATCTTTGAAACCTCTGCTTGAAACTATGATTTATTTTAGCGCTAAAAACATGTGCAATGGTAAAACCCACATAGATGTTAATATCTGTTTTCATGCCACTTTTTGAGAGGTTAGATAAAACATTTCACTCGCTGCACCACTGTAACCTAAAATCTGTAGACCATACAATTCTTCCGGAGGTGTTATTAAAAAGTAACGTCTGAATAATCAATCAGCCAATTAATGGTATTACCTTGCGACAAACTGTACAATATGCCAAAAATAAGCGAAGAATTAACAACAAACAAGAGTAAGAAAAGCAAATAACCTAGTTTGAACGAGAATAGGGTTGTCCGTAAGTAGTTGAAGCTTTCTGGGTAAAAGTAAACTTAGATTGTTTTTATAGAACAAGTAATGAAACCAGTCGCACAAAAATATACTGCAGTGGCTTCCGTTATATGCATTAATCGAGGATGCAGACCATAGAGTAAATTGAATTGTTGCTTGTATCAGTGAGTAATCACTGTAGAGGTCTGGTATCAGTTAAGTGCCTGAATACGGAACTGTTTATGATCCTTGTTCCGCTTTTACTTAGTCACGATGAATGATTCTTCGTCAGTTGCAATTTTTTCTCTGTTACATGCATGAGATGTTTGCATTTTTCAAAAATAACTTTGATGGATAATATTTCTTTGAAAACTCAGTCATTTTTTCCCACAAACGAAGAGCGAAATTACAGTATTTCATATTTTAATTTCCCACTGTTCTTGCTAGTTACTTGGTTACCAGTCAGATTAAAGCATTCAGTGATCAGCTGTTTGTCTTATTGTCTGAATGTCCTATAACAAAACTTATCCTTCTCTCAAACCTAAATGAAATCAAAATTTTAAGTCGCATGTTGAATGGCACCTCTAAATATTGGATAGAAATGTACGCATTTATTAGCATGCTTTCTAAACCTTTCTGTGATTGAAAGATTAAAGACCCGCACACTGATACCTCATTCATCTGTATTCAACACAATAACTTCTTGATTTTTACTAAAGTTTAGTCCTTTGGGTGTTGATTTAACTGTAATATGGCCTGATGTACATTATGTGTATCAATTTTTCTATAATTTTGTTCAGTATTTCGTATGATAGATAACATCTTTTTTGAACATGTTTTACTTTCGTTAATTTAGCTTGATCCTGATGTTGAGGTCATCCTCAATAATGCAAAGTGTTTAGAATTTTTGCCTACTTTTCAACGTCATGCTATTACATATCCAGTAATGAAAAATATGACGGATAATGACCTTAAAGAGGTAGGGTTATCATTTATTTTATTTACTTACTGTGAACTGAATAAAAGAGTACGAATCTTGCTCATGGTTAAACTTCCGCATTAATTACTGACGCCAAGTTAATATCTGTGTTCATTCAACAATTCAGTTTTCCCTTGAATGTTGTATTTTATCAGTGGATGATGTAGAACTTCGCCAATATTGGTAACACATTTAAAGTGAACCTCTAGTTACTTTTCTAAATGTAGTAAATCAACTTTTAGATGAACTTGAATCTGTCATCGTTCAGATATATGTTGATGATGTGACCTGTGAATAATTTCGTGCCTTTTTGTACGATGTGTAGTATTACAGTGGATGCAACTGATAAGAATGAATATAAGTAGTGTATGTTGAGAGGTCGGAAGAAGTCATAAGCAATTACGAGCGACGGGTAAATATTCTACCCAGAGAGACACAAAAGATGACGTAGCCGTACCAATGGGAAGATGAGCTGGAAGAAGATTAACCTTAATATATTGTGCACATTGAAATCTCAATGGAAGGTTACATTATTTTATCCCTAATGTACAAATTGCCATGATAAAATATCCTTCTGCTTTAGTGTTTGAGTACACTGTTCACTATGTCTTCTAAGTTGATCTAACACTCTGACAACTGTTTCACCCGTTCTAAATTCAGCTCATCGTTAATGTGATCTAAAAAGTCAGCTTATCTTCATTGTTCATATCATGTAGATATAGTTAGACTACTTTGACAAAATGATATTATTTTCAAATTTTGCACAGATTATACGCCTTATGTTAATATTTCTCACAAATATGTGGTATCCTAACACTCAACTATGGTATCAAGAAGGGTTTCCGTTGAAAACGACTCAGTCGAGAAGACAAACGAAAATCAAATTCTTAGATTGGAATTTTACCAATAACAGGGAACTGTTTATGACTACCAAATTATAGAAACAGCTTTTATTGTAACAACTGTAGTAGCATGAAATGCAATTGAAATTTCCTATCTGTAGACAACTTTAAGATGAATTTGCATGATGTAATAATAAACACGATTTTAAGACGAAGACTTATTTCAGTTATTAAAAGGATATACTATGCAGTCAAGGTCAATATTATAGAGAAACCGAAACTTACGCTTCAAAAAATAAACGTCATTACATAGATGACTGCGTCACATCCCACTGTGTATACCAATTTACATGTGTGTGGAGTGACACATACACTACAAGGAGGAATGGAACTATGAAGTCGAGAGTGGTGGAGCAAATCCTCAAGTGGCTAGAAAGACAATTACATCCAAATAATTTGATAAATACAGGGGGGAGACAGACGTCATCCTCTGTAGGTAGACATAAAAACAGGTCACAGAACTGACCGCAAAATAGTGTTTAGACCATTAACTCAGTTAGTAGAACATCGGGTCGGAAACCCGGTGGTTGCGATCCAAATTTTCTTTTCATCTCCAATTGTCACCCAGTTTCAGTGTATAAAGGTTGTCAGGACCATTTACTTTAATTTATTGAAACCTTAGCTTTACGAAAGTTGAAACCTCCCTTGTATATTCAAAGACAATTTTTCTTACCTACCTTGGTAATCTTTATCTCATTTTAATGCCAAGGGGGGTGTATGAAAATGTGTTATTCCTCCTTATTATCTCTTTTTTTCCAAACCTTGTATAATTTTAATTTATTTACCTTTCCCTGTTTTCATCTTTCATGTAAAATGCTCTGACAAGTAAATATATGGTCAGATTGTTCAGAATATATTGCGCGAATACATCACATTCCTCAGATACCCTCGGTCTTTTTATTACCTTATACAAACTTTAAGATAGTTTACATGTCTGATATCACTTAGGTCATAGCTGTTGTGATGGTATATAGTCCGGTTTTCAGTTGCTATAATTCCGTTTACATCTGATTAACATATGCATCACTTATCATTTTTTAAATGATCTTTAAACTGTCCACATCAGATAATAACTTGCTCAAAAAGCTCCACACTAAGCTAAATCCGAGATTAGCGGTAGTAAGATTTTATATGATAGTATCACTAATTCGTGTTAGGCTACTGAGTGACCTACAAATTTATTTACCAAGATATATACTACACCTGATATATGTGGACGTATGATGATAGTATTCAATTGTTCAAGTTGAGGTTGCCAAATTGTTTATAAATATGAATTACATGATCGCAATTCAGGATGAAGACAAATGCTCAACGTGTCAAGAAAACGGCTAACTCAACGGTTGTCACATGTGTGCAAAATAACACACTACAATATTTAATGAATAAAAAATAAGCTTGTAAATACGGTCGCAAAATAAACTTCAAGAATAATTTTTGATAAAAATTCTTCCAAATATAAAAAATAATTCACTAAAACGTAAGCATTCTAATCTTGTAGCTCGCACTTTCAAGCTTGAAATTGATTGTAAATTTGTAAATTGCTCAGTTTACATTCACATTCCCTAACCCACAGTCAATTATGTTCATTTGTCAATCTGTATCAACAGGGTTTCTGTTAGAAATCACTCAACTCGGATCGCAGGTTAGGACGTCTGACCCACAAGTTTAATGGAGTTTAATGGTTTATAATGCTACTGAGTAAATTAAGTAGTTGGAAACCCTTTATATTATCTGTATGTTTTGTTGATTAGCTCAAAGTGGTTTATACACTAAGTGGTCTTCTTACTCGTTCGAGTCGGTGTTTAGCGGTAGTGTTCCAGAAAAAATTCCGTCCACAGAAGAGATAAACTGCTCAGATCAATTATCATTTTGACTATCTCGGATAGCCGTGGTTTGGCAGACTATTTATACTGCATGATGATTGAAGGGAGAGTGAAAATTCGGACCGCAGTGGGACTCGAATCAACAACCACCGGTTTTCCGACCGAGTGCTCTACTAACTGAGCTACAAGGCCCGACTACTGACCAGGTTTTTCTTTTACTTCAATCACCAAAGATTTTGCCCGACTACCATATGAATTCTTAACGCGTTATTACCGCTTGGTAGTACGCACACTGGTTTCCAAGTAGTCGGGCCTCGTAGCTCAGCTGGTAGAGCATCGGGTCGGAAACCCGGTGGTAGCCGGTTGGGATCCTGCAGCGGTCCAAATTCTCACTTCAACTTTGATCATCTAGATCAGTTATATCAGGTCAACGAAATGTGCATAAATATTTTCTAGCTACTCATGCTGTTCAAGGGTAGCAAAGAATCACTATTCATTTATTTTATTGGTAAATAGCTATATCAATAGTCTGTGCAGTGCTATTCAGTCAAGTGACATTGGTTTCAACTTCCGTATAATGATGTAACTTAATTTGCTACAGAACATCTTATTCTTCATAGCTTGTCTGTGAAACATGTATGTCATAAACTCTGGAAGTGAATTAAATCAAACGAAAGTGTTGATCTTTGTTATCGGAAGTGATCAATGTGCTATTTCAAATTCAAGTTGGTAATGTTTCACTTGCGATGCACCAAACGTGTTTCACATTTCCCATTACATTCACTAGGAAAAACTTCGACATCGTATCGAATGCAATGGGAATTCAAGTTGCAGCTTTATTTCCTGTGGAATCAAAAGTCTCTTTTCAGTATTTAAACGTATAACCTACTTTCATTCAATGAATTCTGCGAAACTCAGTTTTACATTTATCGATAACTCGCGCCAGCAGGCAATCGCTTCCATAATACTAAGTGGTGTACTTTGCTATTAAAACAAATTGTGATAATGTAGAAAATTATTGCTTAGCCTAATGCTTAATCCAAATAAAACTAGTTCCGAATGAAAAGCGGAAATCTTCTGAACATTTTCCATTAGTTAAGAAGTATCTCATATATTGAAACGACCTACCGGAAGTTTTATTGGAATAAAAAATCATATGCACAAAGTTAGGCGATTTTATGGTATGTTTCTGAAACTTTTGTTAATATTTAGGAGATCTTCACACGAACTTTTTTCGTCATGTACATTAATTATATTTGACCATCAGTCACCTTTTTGATGTTTTTCCAGGGACTGATTATAGTGTTTTACTTCTTCGATGTTTAATTTACTGCTTTAATTGCGATTTTCTGTTGCTGCAAATATTGAAAACCCAGTGTAAGTTATTTAAGACATTACATCTTTCTGACCATTACTATTCATTCCGCTAATATCTCACTGACGAAACTATTGAGATTCGTCTTCTTAACAAAGTCCCCATTACCTTCTGGTTTTAAGGTTTTCAAACACTACATTCTTATAACTGGGAATCAAATGATATCGTTTAATTTAATAGAGCCAATACCTTGGTCAAATATGACTATGTACTTTCCTCAGGTTAGTCTATTATATGATATTTACGCTGTGTACTAGGGGACGAACTGCAAACTTTTTCCCCATACAAATAACACCGGAAATTAACCCACCATGATGTCAAGATTATTGAATAAACAACTCGTAAATCAACACAAACAGCTAGGTTGAATAAAACCAATATCGAGAAAATAATAAACTCTACTGATAAATAATACGTGCTGCACAAAAAGCAGTTATGGTGATCTAGTAGTTCGGTGAACAATGTTATTATTTTAATTCATTGGTTCTAGATTTGAGGCTAGATGGTAGTATTTACGTTCACTGAGTTGAGGATTGATCTAGGTAACCACCCACAGATAGGATGAAATACTCATCATAAAACCCACTTTCAACCTTGCATAAGTGCTATCTGAATGTGCTGGTATTGTTGGTAAGTTATTTAGATAGCATTATTCTGCAATATGAATACCTAAAAATTCCACTACCACAACTGTTTTTATCACTTCGATAAAGAGTCTTCGCATTGTGAAATAAACCTATTCATAAAAGATGTAAATTTAAATTGAATACTTACTCAAAATAACCTTTTCTATAAGAAATATGGCATTTGATCCATAATATATTGTTTATTTTGAAAAAAACAGATTGGGATTCATGCCCTTGGTACACGCCGAGAGATTCTTAAGCAAATTGACATGTACGGAATAACAACAAAAGAGAATGGAAATAAGGTAATCCTATAGTTTGAAACATATTGTTTAACGTTGAATTTATTTACAATTTTTTTAATATAAAGGAAGGAGACAAGTGACTTTCCGAACTGAATGGAAATTTTGTTTCAACAGAAACAGTTTTGGACAGTTATTTCTCGAGAAGAATTCCGGACTGATAGCTGCTATCGTAAATAAGTGATCGAGTATGCATATCACAATGACCCAACGAGCTACACTGGCTGGAACACTTGACCTCTCGAGGTCTTACTATGTAAGAAGTGTCTGTTAGATAGTGGTCAGATGAAAAGCAGTTACCGTCATAGTGTCATATACTACATCACGATGTAGCGCAGTTCCAGTCAATAGGTATCTGTGCTCTTTTCGACCGAATGGGTCTGTAAGAACTAGGAAGGATTGAGACTAGCCGTTACCTATTCATAATCTCCGTCTACACACTGACTGAAGTTCTGATGGTAACTTTCACTCTCAAGTAAAGAAGATGAGGTAATCGGAAAGGGATCTTGGGCGTATCTAGAGAATCCCATGCCAACGAACCGACAACAATAATCATCTCTCACAACTTGCCCTATCAATCCCTCATCTCTGGCCAGCACTAACTTCAAGCATTAGGAGAAACACTGTCCCACATGGCGTCCGATGATATCAAGCTAACAATGGACACAGGTAGATCATAGTGCTGAAGGCACCAGTGTGTAATTTGTAGCGCACCTTCGGGAGACCAAGGATAGTGTTCTGTGGACTTAGATCGTTGTCGAAAGCTGCAGAGCTAAAATAAATTGAAGGTGATGTAGGATTGTTAACTGAGAGACGTGAAGGAATATTAGAAAGTAAGGATGAGAGGAGATAGATAGCGGTCTGAGGGAACTTGAGCGCTGACAGAATTGTGAGGGTAGTTGACATTTCGCAGCCGTACACTTGGTGGAAGGTTATGTCTTCTTGAGGTAACTGGAAGAGTAGAAGATTTGAATGACTGCAGAGACAAGGGATATCTTCTTGAGGCCTGTCACATGCAGTCTTTTTTGGGTTGTTGTCTTGAGACTTGATTGTTATAATGCCGGATAGACAAGAAACGTATACCACTGGCACTGGGATACCGTGGAGCTTGGTGGAGTGTATTTTTGAGGCCGACCTTTTCTAACCCACCCTTTTTCATTGAGAAGGCAGCGTAAGCGTGACATCGCTGGTCATCCAAGGGAAATACCTTACTGCTGTCGCACCCCACCCGGCTAGCAGCAGTACGACCTCCCTCCTCAGACCCCCACCATAGTGTATTAATTTACACGATAACTGTAACGGCTTTTTGTCTAACCACTACCCAACAAACGTTTCTGGTATGGTAGGACTCCGAGGTAGCAAGTGTTACATTAGCATAGCCCTTGAGTCATTGTGATTTGCAAGCCCAACCACTATGTCAAGGTAGCAGGTTTCGGTAGTGATTTAATATCTAAAGTTAAACCTTAGCATAGTGTGTTACCAATTACGCAACGCATCAACTTTGTATATGGTCTTCGAGTTATTCAGTACTTCCCATCATAAAAACGATATCTCCTTCCTATTTTTGCAGTGATCATTGTTTAAAAAATCCACAATTTCTGTTCTTTGTCATGGCATTTTTTAACACTGGTCAGTTTAATCTTCTTGATGCTGTTAACGACAGTTTAAATGTAGTGGTTTTCCGGTTTGAAAACCTTTAGTTATCGTGCTAGAAATCAGAAGCAGTATACAAGCTTATAGTTAACTATGAGTGTTGAAACGCAGACGACATGTGCTATGCTTCTGTTAAAAATTAACCGTATTACGTCTCAGAAAGTGGTAGTTTGCATCGATCTCATCGGTGAATGTGACAAAGAATTCAGTATGCTAAGAAATCTACCAACCCCTGAGATAAAATGGGACAAAGTTGTGTGGAAAATAGGTTATTATCGGGAATAATCATGTGACCTTTGATTTCTACTCACGCTCAAGTTTGCCTATTTTAACCTTGAAGTTGTCGGTGAGTGAGCCTCTTACTAGTTAGTATGATCGTTATAAGAATTTCTTAACGTAACTTCAGTGTATTTAGAAAAGAAAGTTTTATGTATCATCCGGCTGCTTCATACTGAAATCCGTATGAATTCCAAACTGGTCCGTATAGTGTAACAAAACTTCCAATTTCTAAAAAAGCTTCTTTTGAAACGTATCACTGCCGAACTTCTTTCTGCTTGATAACCAAATAACAACTTAAAATCACTTTATGAAGGCACTTTAACTGTTGCTTTAAATAGCTACCAAACTTCGAATAAAAACGATTCTTTGTATGACGCATCCTACGACATGTGCACAACAAAAGTCGTATTTCATTAATGTTTGGTGTATTAGTGAGTTTTAATGTTTCACGTTGTTGATGTGTAGAAGTGAACTGGTTGGTCTTTGTTTGGGATATGAACTCCTCGCATAGATGCTTAGATAATACTTCTGCTCAGGTCGTGTTTTGATAGTAGCTGGGGGAGGGGGGAATAAAGGATGGGACTCATTAGTTGAATGTGCCTGTATCGCAATGGATACCGACGCTCTGATGAAGACTGGAACTTATTAGGCTAACGAGTCACAATAAGGTGAGTCCTGTAAAACAAAATTGTAGGAAATAACCTATTGGTACTTATCGAACAAGGTGTGGCTGTCTTGAGTGCGAAAGTGATGGGTTCTAGCCTTGGTGAGAAAGTTTAAAACTGCTGCATTGCATGTTCATCCAGATAAGTTCCAAATAGGATGAAATAGATATCTTAGGTTCTACTGCTAATCATTAAGAAATGTATTACTAATATTTGGTATTTTGTTGATCGTTAAGGTGACAAGTCGAAGAATTTTTAGATAAACAGTGAACGCTCACGGTTAATACTGACGACATAATCTGAGTTTAGCTACCGTTAAAACACAGAAGACCAAAAGCCTCATCTTTTTCTGGAATAATAGAAAATAACAATTCAGTACAACCTCAATAGAAAGATAGAAGAAATAACGGACAGTACTAGTGTGAGGGCACAAAATGTCTATTTGGGTTGTCTTTAGGTATGTAATAAACGGAATAAATAAAAAAAGGTCGAACTAGCTCAAGGTGATTGGCTTCTACGCAACAATGGTCGGATTGCTTACTATTCATAACAGTTTATGTAAAAACCATTGGAAATATTCTAAACAACATATGAATTTTGGAAGACCGGGAACTAGTATGAATCAACTTGAGCACAGGTAGTATTTTACTGGTCAGTTAATTTGAAGAATCAAGATTATCAAACGTCTGAAGATAAAGTACATTAATCTATCATGAGTAAAGTATTAATCGTTAATTTTCTTTTTACCTATCAACCCAGTTGTAAGGCAATTCCGTCGTTTGGGTTGTTATTTTCCACTGAGATATGCGCTACATGTATTTAGCATCCTCTGCAACTCACTTTGTTAGTTTATGAGTAGAATTAAGTTGGAAGAAACTACGGTTAACCGGACTAAGAAATGACACCAATCCAGGAAGTTACTAGTTGTAGATAGGAACTATTACAGCAAGGTGGGATGTCTTATCTGGACAATTCAGATGTTAGGTATCAGTTATTAGTGATTACATAGGATGCAGTTGAAAATAGATCGCAGTGGTTCAGATATCTCCCCTCGTCATGATCAATATCCTGCTCAACCTATACGGTTTCAATACTGTCGCTAATCTCATATATTTTGTATTTTAATGTCGTCCTACTTCTGTTCATCTTTCCTTCTTTTGCTATGATGAAATGTAGTAACAAGCTGTTATGTGAGGTTTTATGCTAGTCTGCCTATTGATTAAATTGTTTGAAGCCAGAATCAGGATATTCGGTATTTGAAGTCGACATTATCTTGTGTAAAAATTAGATAGATAAGTAGTTGTACCCATTGTTGTTGCATATAACTCATCTTATGGCGCTACAAATTTGTATCTATGCTGTTTATTTATCTGGTTGTCTTCAACTTTCCTGTCTAGACTTCTGATGCAGTGGAATGTTTGAGTACATCGCGAATAACACCTTCGGCACCGGAAGTTCCTATAATGAACATGTCTGTGTCTAACGAAGTTGCTCGAGTGGAAAATGAATGTTGTATATGCCAGGATGCAATAGTGAGTGGGCTGTTTTACTACCATGTTATATCTGGGTACTTTTTAATCTCAACAGGGGAAAAAGACCATTCTAATGATGCTCATGAAACAGCACTAAGCTTAAAGTGCATTTCGAGACTAAATAATCGGAATTATTATTCGCCACTGGAATAGTAAAACACTACATCTCTCCCTATATTCGCCGCTCAACCAGCAGCTATGATAATAATTCTGCAACCGCTTACGTGACTCATTTCACACATTAAATTCCTACCTATAATAGATCAGCGGATACTAAAAGTTGTCTTCCCAAAATCCTGTTTGTGATTTAGGAAACTGATCATCGCCTTTAATGATGTCACCACCACTCCAACTTACTAATTGTTAAAACTAGTATGCATCTTGTTTGTTTTTTATACCACTTGAATAGTGATACTCGTACTAAGATTACTTTTCCATAGCTAAATCTAATGAAGCTGTAACTGATAGGTCCTAGGACCTTGAGTTTTATTGATTGACATTTGTCACCCTCGCAATATTTTTTCCTATCTCTACTATACGAAACTTTTTTAATTCTAAACACTACTCATATGGCAATTGACGTCTCCTTTTATTTTTATATGCACTAGCATAGAATGTAACAAGAATGTTAGTCTTCTTTGTATGATAAAATAGAGCAAAGTCCACTGCATCGACGGTATCGATCAAGGTTTTCTGTCATAAAGCTTTTCGGATGTAACTAGCACATTTTGATTTTATGCGCCTCAGTAATTATGTTCCTGTTAACCTGTTAAAATTTTAATTAAATTAATACTGAGATGCTAGGCTGTAACATCTGAATGCTAATAACTAAATGTGTAAGATGGATATGAAATTGGAAAATAGTGGATAGACTAAAGTTTAAAAATCATGAACCGGAACTTGATGTGTAAAATATTTTGTCTAGTATTATTCTCCGTATTGAACTAACGTGAAGGAACAAAAATAAGTGTGTGTAAATTGAAATGTTACTGAAAGAAGTGCTACTACATATTAATAATTCAAAGGATTTAAATTTTCACTAAGAATTCCGAGTAAATCAGTTGCTTCAGTTGAGGAGCTGCCATAAATAATTTCGAGCAACAATCTATATTCCTTCTGATTCTGTATTTCCAGATAACAACTGACCCAAATTATTTAATATTTAGACTTCACGTTACTATTGTATGAATGCATGCATCACTTCAACAGACGAAAAGACATCATCACTAAGTTGCAGTAGTTCGTAAGTATAAACATTACGGAAAACATTTGTTCCATGAATCACGTATGTTCTATCAGTAGCATATAAGAGGCGAAAATGCATTAACAACCTAATTTTCGACAAGTGTCTTAGTATCTGCAAATATCTCCGTTAAGTAAACATAATTCGGCATACTTCATTCCAGCTTGCATTGTTCTACTTTTAAGCCATGTATGTAGAAAGCATTGTTCATATTAGTTTTTAACCTCTGTACATTTGAACTGCATTTTTTAACATATCTAACACAGATTTTTACATAACCCATTTAGTGCACAACCATATTCCTCCCGTGTGGCCATGTTTGTTGTTGTAAGAAGTGTTCTGAAAGTCTTCCTTTATGTCCACTTTGTCGTTGCAACATAAATAATAGAATCCAACTGCACTTCTGAGTAGAAATCTGCATATAACACTTATTAAAAATCAAAAGATTATCTCTACAAAAAAGGAAATACTATTCGCCAAAAAATCATGGATGATGAAGATTTGCTTCTTCAATGAGTAGGTGCAAGTACCTGGAGCCTATCATCAGAAACTTCTCTTCTCATTTTCACCTTTCACTAACTGACTTTTCGTTAGTTTGTAATATACAATTATGCATAAAGTCGCTAACTTGATTATATTTACCAAGTATCAATAAATATACACTGACAGCGTATACATCGTTTTCCGTAATTTTTGTACAAAAAAAGTTATTTTAAAAAACAAATTAAGATCGATAATAACTTTTCAACAGATCAGACTTAGGCTTCAGAACAACTTTGTCAGGAATGCTAACTAGCCACCCAGGTTCCAATCCGTAAAATATTTGTCTTGGATCCTTTCGCATAGACATTAGCTTTCGAGTGGATTCTGATAATGAATTTAAATCAAAAGGACGATATCCGTATTTTTGGGCCAACCAAATTCGAGCCTTAGCTACGGCGTCAGGATCTGCTAAGTAACCTCGAGATTCAGCATTTGCGTAAAATGGAACCAACGTCTGTAAAATAAAAAACAATGTATTGAATTTTAAAAAAACAGCTATCGAGTACTGAATGCTGATATTGGGGCCAGGGATAACAGGTGCATGTTAAGTACAAACAACATTTGAAGGAGTTTGGAAAAGTTGAAAATAAGAAATGGAACGGCAAACTTATCTCACAGAAGTCCAGTGTTAAAAGTAAGGTTCTTATAAAGTAAGGAGCAAAATGAGGCAAATCAAGAAAGTTCAGTGAGGTCGTTAGAAAATGCCTTAAGCAGATGTTACTTGACGTTTCCAATCACACGCTGAAGTAGGTAACACCGTTACTATTTCACTTTTTTTATGTATGTGGATATGAAGTAACCTTCTACAGTATGGCTAACCAAGATATATCAATCCTCCAGCAGTATTCAAGTCTTGAAATAGTGGAGAATATTTGTAGCTCAAATGAATGGTCTCTATTTCACGATGATTTGTCTTTCAACTTTGTAGTCCACGATAACAATTTGAGTTCACGAAATAGCATTCAACATCCTAACACTGTCAAATCATACAAACCAAAACTCAGGCACCTCAGGTTATGAGTGTATGACGAGTTTGTGGAACACAGATCCAAGCTTAAAGGGCGGTTATTCACTTGACCTCACCTGACGAATATGATGAATCTATGAAATTCATGCCTTGTGTATCTGAGGACAGACAAGGAGCTTTTCAACTCTAAAAATCATGCCGTAAGCAACCCCGGGAGGCGGAGGGTCGTGGTGACTTAGCACCACAAATAATTGACAACTTAGCCTATGATTATTGACTAGACTGGTTGAGGCATTAGTTACGTCGTGCCAGTCAGACATGGTCTCTCAAGAAATAAAAAATATCTTCTGGAGATAAACACGAGAAAATAACTTGGACAAACATCACTGTCTAAAATTTGTTTTTGTCTGCACCATTTTAGGTTGCCAAACAGCTGACTATATAAAGCTGCCCTCTGATTCGATACTTAATGCAGATGGACTGAAACCATGCATATCGTTTCAGCTTAACACCTTTGACATTTGGACTTAGTTGCTGACAAACTAAGCGCGGCCAATACAAAATCTCAATGTATGATGTCTCAGAGACCAAAATACAATTCCACGGAAGTGCTCTAAATGGCTTCTTCATCTGTCACTATGAATAGTTCATTTCGCGTACACCTATTCGCCGACCCTAGTGCAACAGTATCTGGCCTTGTTGATGTACGTGCTGCACTAAGCGCTAGTGTTTAAGTTGCATAAGTTGGCTACAGCTTTTTTAATAGTCATCTGTTTACTGTTAAACTATAAGTTCCAGTTTTAAAAAGAAGTGACTAATAAGAATATTATATTTTCGTCATCAATGCACACGTCGAAACAGGGCAGAGAAGATGTAAGTGATACTTTTAGTTGAGTAATTCTCGAAAGATATCCCAGTACCAGCTGGGGACTTTAATACACAATCTGGGGATCTAAAATCAGGGAACAATCCACCAGGTGGTCAATGACTATCAAGTCACACGTATTATGGGGGGTCGTCTTTTGCGACTTTGCATAGATTATTTTAACGTCTAACTAAACTGAGATAAAATGAATAGGGTATTTTATCGCTTTTTAAAAACATCTTACCTAAACTTTATTAGCACTATCGTATAACTTAGTTTATTATCTTCTACTTAGTACAGTACTATTTACCGTTTAATAATGATAGTTAATTTATGTACAACATTCTGTTTTCTGAATACCATTTTTTCTCTTTCAATTTTTGTAAGTTATTGCATGCTTCTAGTCAGCAGTGTACAAGGATTAGATTAATAGTGATTACAATAATAATTGGAAAAAAAACAGTGTGCATCACCCTTACAATTGGAGGGCGATTAGGAGAGACCATGTAACCGTTGCTGGGTGAATTGTGACTACGAGGAATTGGAATCGCATGTGAAGTTAGGATTATGACCGAATTAAATCAAGTGGTTGTTCAGGTCATAGGACAGACCATAACGTAATTCTGGCTAGTATCAATTTACAGGGCAGCCATCATCGTTGCTATGTGAAGGCTTTTTACTGACAGTGAAGTCGGTAATCAATTAGAGCGAACTGGAATTAATAGATGCAAGTCTGGTGATAATTATATGCTATCCATTTGGACTGGTTTTGAGATCATCTTACTTCGGTGGTCGTCGAAATCGTCAGCTTGAAAACATAGCCGTATGTAAATTGCGTGCACCTACTGCGAATAAATACCAATTCAAGCTTCCGAAACTGCCACGTGTACAGATGAGCGTTGATGAGACGCCATGAAAATGTGGAGTAAGGCTGCTCACAACCTGAAACAGTTTCTATCAATTCTTTAAGACTTTTTGACACCTATTTGTCTGTCTAAGTGGACAGCGAGTGCAATAATTTACCTAAGTTTATCAAGTGAATGACCGAACAAAACGTTTGCAAGAAGGGTGGAACTTTGTGTTTATAATGTGTGAGATGAATGGGTCCCTGATTTCCCCATTCCTCTTCAATTCTGTCACCTATGAGACAGGTGTGAAGGAATTGCATAGTAGTGTAGACCTACTGGTAGAAAAGCTACTACGCAGACAATAAAATCCTTGTGCAACAATATACATGTTACTCAAGTTGCAATAAAGTGACTATTTTATGTGCTTTGCACCCATACAGTACATTCACCTTAGCAAGATTAAAGAGTCTTTACGCCCACTTACCGTCTGTGGTGAGCCGTTGGAAGTAGTTGAAATATGCGTGCATCTAGGCTGTATGAGTGCTAGTGGAAGTGTGGTGGATGAACTTCTTAATCACATTTGGAAAGCCCGAAATAATCCAATATGAATAATTTTTGGTACCTACGAGATTTCAGTCCGACCGTGAAAAGTCAGGTGTACAGAGGTTTAGAGTAGATAGTCCCGTCTTACATGTGAGATCTAAGAAAATCCAACAACTGTATGTTTGACTACTGCTGTCTTCGTAAGACTGCTAGTATCTGACTAAAACATGGCACCAATGTATGAAGTCTCTGACTGTTGGCTTAAGCCATGTAGGACGATGCAGACTAGGTGGTTGGGGTCCACGGGACAAGAGGAACCAGTGGTTGGAGACCCTAGGTGATATGGCTCAGAACCGAAGTCAGTGGCGCAGATGTATACACACATTATCCTCATCTTAACAACGCTATACCGAATCTCACTATTTTGTCACTCCTCTTTCCTTTCTTCTCGTACTTTATATTTCTTTTGACTGCATTCACTTATCTTCATCCTTCACCTCACTACCTTTTTACTTGATGTGCTGATATGAGGTGTGGCAAATCGGACCGTTACGCAGAAATGCCTGGTCCTATGTTGATAATGATGATGATGCTAGTATCTGACGGAAACAAGTTAATTCATTCTGAAGTCCAACCAAACTTATTTGAGCTTAATGGAAGTAACCACACATTCATTGGTGTCATCTTGAAACAGCGTGAGCGATTAGAATAGTCCTCAAGTTTAATTTATAGGTCGCAACTTTACACTTTCATATTCAGATAACCAAGTAGTTTGCTGCAGGTAACTCAGTGAATAACAAAAATGTAAAGCGGTTTAAGATGGTGAATACTTCACGAAATGCACGAAGAATATTAAAGAAAACAAAGCCTATGACTCGATGATGGACTGCTGAAAATGTTTTCCAAAACATTCATTCATCATTTTAATTCATGCGACATATTATCTTTCCTAAATGTCTCTTACTTGGATTTAAACATTCTCCCATCATATTTAGTCTCACTACTGAACACTGATTACGATCACTGTGCAATGTCTTCAACGGTCGATTCCAGTTTTCTTTGATATCATAATACCTGGGATAAGTCCTTTCCTAGGGGTTGTTCGGTATGAAATTGCTGACAGTTTTTTAAGTGAGGATATCTTAGGCTAGTTAAACTGGTTACTGGGACGAATCGATTTCGGTTGCCGTGAAACGTATGATAAGAAACCACATAATTCTGCCCGGCATATTTTAAGAAAACGATGCACCTCGTCAGTGTTTTTAAGTTACTTTAGTCATAAATCACGTATACCATCCATCATCAAAGAAAAACAACTGGAAAGTGCTTACTCTAGTGAAATTCATGAGAATGTTACCGGGTGAAATGGGAAGTGATCATCTTATCGATTATTGCAGGCAGAAATAGGAAGCCAACTTGGTTAACATATGCGCACATTATGAATGTGTTGGCAACTCTAGTAGGAAATGTACTGGCCTAGATACCAAATGAGTTACTCAAAATCCTAATAGTCGGTTTATCTGAATAGGTTTCATATCAAGAAAGCTCCGCAACATCAAACTGGTTTGTGAACTTATAGATGTTCAGTAAAACCGTGTTTCCGGTATCAATAATTCAGAATGAATGGGAAGAGAAGATAGTAACGACAGTAAACCTGAGTAGCATTAAGTGTTTACCTAGACTTATGCACACAAGTTAAGAATGATTGAAACATGGACGGAAGGAGATTAACGCGCTTTGGACCAATGGCACTTAGCAAATATCATGAAAAGGACTGGTTTACTTCAAATAAGGTACATTCAGAAGAAAGTATCAAGGCATAAAATATATGGTAACTACATAAATAAAGTACTTTTTTTCTTACGTTAGGAGGCATTTTGGCCTTTGGAATTGGGATACCTTTTGTGAAGAATCCTTGAGGATCGGATTTTACCCAAACGGAATAGAGGTCGTAAAAGCGATTGCATATAATTCCTCCCACTCGTTCCACTGCTGCAATCACCTCTTCACTGGCATACTGTACTTCAATATTAACAGGAGATATGAAATTGTCAATTCCCTAAAATTTACTCTCAAAGAAATGCGCTGCTTACTTCTTCAGTAAGATGAAAACCATAATGGCGATCATGATCCACATTTAGTTGATAAAGGTTAGTATTACACAATGTTGAAATATCTATAGGCTCTGATGGGTCAATTCGATTAAGATCTATCAATCGCTGAAGCTCCAGAAGAGATATTCGGAGAAGATTAGTTGCAGATCTAAATTAATGAGAAACATTGAAGCTTTACTTACATGCTGCTTTTATTATACGGTTCTTTTGGAACCGAGAGATAAAATGGTGTTTTTTCACCTAATACCCCCAACGGTGGGTATGTCTGGTGTTGAGACATACCACGATGTCCTAAACCCATCTTTTTCCTTTGCAAACCATGATATTTCTGTTAGTCATTAAAAGAAGTATACAACATTTATTACCGGCTGCCTACTGCCCGGTAGGTCTGTAATATTCTTATGACAAACTCGGGGATACTTTCTCAACACAGCTAGGGCCTTATCAATTGTCGGCATTGTCTTTTTTTCTACCTATAGCGCGAAATTTCAAATTTAATCGTTGCTTTACGTAAGTGTGAGAAAATTCCAACTAAACCTTCTCTCTCAACAGTTTGCCACTGGTTCCTTCAAATAATGATCTAAAACAAAAGAGAAAAAACGTATCAATCGATTGCCCTTAAAAATCTTTCATATTAAAGTTTTAATTTATGACTGTGCCTTGGCAACTCAAAAGGGCTAGTTAATTTCATGGTGTCTTGTAAAATCAGCTCATTCTTATTTTCACATCCTGGTGAATTACCGACTAACAGTAAATGCAGCTCATATCTATGTTCACACAACATTAGAAATAACTAGTTAATTAAAACTAACAGGCTAAGGGTGTAGATTTAGTTCACTAAAGAAAACGTGAGATACCTAGCATGAAATAAATTACTACTCAGATCCAGATACATCACGACGGGAAAAAGCTCTGTACACACCCCTAACACTGTAGCTGTCTGTAGAATGATTTCACTGAGTTCAGATCTAACTAGCCATAATCATTGTCAGCTGAATTCAAGAATATATTCTTCTTTTTGAGGTGTGAATACAATTTTCCATTTGTTACTACGCAGCCATTGTGTAATACACATAATGTATCCTTCAGATGACCACAAACTCAATAACGTTACTATCAGCTTGTGAGTATATGAATAACACTATTACTAGGTAGAAACCAACCTTGAATAGGTCCCCTACCATAAGAACTCAAGACTATGAAACCCGCGGGTATCAAACTGTGGTTTCCACTTAAAAAGCTAACTATAATTAAAAGACCAGTTCTACATTAGTTTTGATAACTTGGTTGGTTGTGGGCAGCAGACGAATCCAGGACGCGAGTTTCCTCCTACTTGGGACTAGTCAGCTAGACATAATGCACCTCAGGGATGTTGTTCCTACTGAAACTGGAAACCAGTGCTCATTGCTCCAAACGCCAACGCATTATCCATTATGCTACGGAGGAACGATAGCCACTTCTTGTACAACGGGTAGTAGAGGTTGAACGATTCGATCTTAACATCAGCCATCAAGACAAAATAGAAGATATCGAGGGACATTCCTGAAGAAACCTGTATGGATGAACACCGGAATTCTTTGAAAGCTATGCGGAAATAAACCGCCACAGTTGTATTAGGAAGGAAGAAAAAAGAAGATAAGGAATGGATCTCAGTGGACATATGGAAGCTGATACAGTAGGGAGAGGAAGATGGTGAAGAAGATAAACCAGTGCAAGGATTAACAACCAAAAGAGGAACTGAACGCAACCTATAAAACTACACCGGACAAAGAAGTGAAGAAGAGTGCACGCAAAGACAAAATACACTTCTATGACACACTGACAAGTGAAGCAGAATAGGCTGCAGGTAGGAGAGACCTGACAACACTACATCAAATAACTAGGTTACTATCTGGGAAGAGATCGACGCAGATGAAACCAATGAGAGATAGTGAAGGGAACTTAGTTACCAAAGAGGAGAAACAAAGGAAACAATGGGCTGACCACTTCAAAAAACTATTGAATCGACCACCACCTCCAACTCGTCCAGAAATACCGCCAGCAGTCCAGTCACAGAATTACTAGTGAACACAAGCCCTTCGACAAAATCAGAAGAGGAGTCCTGAACCCCATAAAGTCGCTGAAAGCCAGGGAAGCAGCAGGATCAGATAGAATCTCGCCAGAAGCACTGAAAACAGATGCAGATATAACAGCGGATATACTTACACCACTGTTGTAGAAGGTTCAGAAAAAAGGAAGGAAAGGTGCCTGCAGATTAGAAGAAGGGCTACCTTGTCAAACTCCCGAAGAAGGGAGACCTAAGTCTTTGCAAGAACTGGTGCCGAATCATGCTCCTGTCGACCCCAATCAAAATATTAGGCTACCTCACCCAGAAGAGATTAAAACATGCATTGGATTCAAAATTACGACCGGAATAGGCTGGCTGGATTCAGGAAGTACAAATCATGTGCGGACCAAATTGCAACGCTACGCCACGCATCATCATAGAAGAGAGCATAGAACGGCAGTCAACTCTCCACCTCAACTTCATCGATCTTGAAAAGGCCTTCGACAGCGTCGACCGAGAAGTAATTTGGCAACTGCTTCAACACTACGGAATACCACAAACCTTTATCAGCCTCATTCAACAACTTTGTGAAGACGCCACATGCCAAGTAATTCACAATGGGAAGCTCAGTGATGCCTTTGAAGTGAAGACAGGAGTAAGACAAGACTGTCTACTATCACCCATGATATTCTTGATCGTAGTGGACTGGATCATGCAATAAACAGTGAGGAACGAGAGGAGGCGGAAACGCTGGACCGTAGAAAAGAACCTAGAAGATTTGGACTTCGCCGATGACTTATGTCTAATGTCTCGTCACACAAACTCGAAGATCTACATGCAAAAACCAACAAGTTGACAGAAGAGACAGGGCAGCAAAGACGGGACTTCCTTCAGGTGGACGTAGAGAAGACAGAGGTGATGAAGATACACAACCAACAACAACAACAAGCACCAGTCACCATTAACGGAAGAAACCTAAAGGAAGTAGTCTCACCTACCTAGGCAAGGCAGCATCGTTTCAACTACAGGTAGTGCAGATGAAGATGTCAAAGCTAGGATCGGAAAGACGGCAAGACAGGCCTTCATCAACCTGAAACCAGTGTGATCTACCCCACTCAGCATAAAAAACAAGATCCGGATTTCCAACACTAATGCCAAGTCAGTGCTTCTATATGGTTCAAAAACTTGGCGCGTCACGATAAGCATTTCCAACAAACTACAAACATTCATCAACAACTGCCCCCTACGCTCACTCGGTACTGAAGATGAGATGGCCAGAAACAATCAGCAACAAGAAACTCTGGCTGGCTGGCAACGAACCAACCAACAGCCCATCGCCCAAAAAATATCCAGAACAAAATGGAGATGGATTGGGCATACACTGAGAAGACCGTTAGGAGACATTACACGCCAGGCCAGGTGCTCAAGTGGAATCCAAAGGGGAAACAACGAGTTGGGCGTCCGAGGCGAGGGTAACATGAAGGAGATCGTATGAGGAAGAAATGAAAGCTTGTGGGCAGTCGTGGAGCCAGGTTCAAAAGACTGCAGAGAACAGAGTGCAGTGGAGACGTGCTACTAAAGCCGTATGTTCCACTAGGAACCCAAGTAACAAATATTAATAATAATGGGTCTTCGTTTTCAGCAGACATGCTTTCAAGAGATGCATGAAACTAACCGCAACCTAATACTTACTAAAAGGGTTATGTGGAGGGCACAATAAGCATTCTCTGGGTTTTGTAGTTGCGTCGTACTAATGCATTTCGGCTACCAGGTACCAATTCCTACAATGGTGATAGAAAAGAGGTTATAATTCCCTAAGCACTGTCTATAACACGAGTGTACCTCCTTCGTTGATCGTCGGTAACTCCATTCTTCTTCTTTTTTCTACATTTATTTTAATCACCATATGCCATAATTAACCTTATAACCCCAGTTTCCTCAGTCTTTTTGTCCATTGCTGATAAATTGAGATCATGAAGTTCCAACCCTTGATTTCTATACTCACACTGCAAGCAGCTTTTAATGTTCGAAACCCATGTCAAATAAGATGGGAAGTAAAACCAATGAAAGCTAAAAACCTAAAAGATGAAACTGTGATATGGTTGAACGGTATAGATGCATTCACTCTTGTTCTTCCTCAGAATACATGAACATCTTGTTAATATTTATTTCCTTGCCTTTTCTGTATATCCTGCTCCTTCGTTTTATTGTCTTTTCGCTGCTGTTGGTAATAAAGCAAGTCGTGGATAGTGTCACTGATTGTCGAACTGGTCAGTATAGTCTACGATGAGGCGTACTTGGTGTCAAGGTTGTAGCATAGGATATGCTTTCATTGCTGGTCACCTTGCAGTAAAGATAAGGAAGACTTTGTCTGAACTAGAAATAGCATGTAACGGTTAAGGAGCCGAAAGCACTAACCACAGAACGTTTTGAAAATTTTCTTTATAACATACAGAACTTTCTTACTGCTTGGTTGTATTCTACAATTCTCAATCAATCAATCAATATTAACATAGAACCAGGCATTACTGCGTAACGGTACGAGTTGCCACACCTCATATCAGTACATCAAATAAAAAGGCAGTGAGGTGCGAGATGAAGATAAGAGAATGCAGCCAAAAGAAATATAAAGTGCGAAAAGAGAGAAACGAAGAATGAGAAAGTGGTGAGATTCGGCATAGCGTCGTTAAGATGAGGATAATGTATGTATACATCTGAGCCATTGACATCGGTTCTGAGCCATATCACCTAGAGTCTCCAACTACTGGTTCTTCTTGTCCTACGGATGCCAACCACCTGGTAGGCATCGCCCCACATGGCTCAAACCATCAGTCAGAGACTTCATACATTGGTGCCATGTTTCAGTCTGGCCACCTCGAGCCTTCTTCCAGCCTGGACCTACTTCAGCCAACATTGTGTGACGAGGCGATCGGTGACTAGGCATACGCAGTACGTGTCCCAACCATCTCAGTCGATGAAGGTTCACAACCTCATCAACCAACTTATCTCTTCTACCTAAAACTCTACACCTGACTTCTGCGTTACTCACGTGATGACACCTCGGAATACGGCCTATACTACGAAGGCAACGGTGGTCAAACACCTGAAGCCAGCCTTCTCACGTCTCTCACCTTTAATGGCCATGTTTCACAGCCATACAGTAGAACAGACCGGACTGCTGTGCAGTACATGCGACCCTTAGTAGACAATCAGATACCATGGCGGCGTCATAGGTGGCGCAAATTGGCAAAAGCCAATCGAGCCTTTTGTATCCGTGCAGAAATCTCATCGGCAACTAACCCACCAGGGTTGATCCTACTTCCCAGGTAAGTGAAGTGGTCAACACACTCAACCACTTCACTCTCTATTGTTAGCCGTGGCACCGCTGAAGACCAGTCCTGGAGCCAAAAT